TTTTTTTTTTTGAGACAGAGTCTTGCTTTGTTGCCCAGGCTAGAGTGAGTGCCGTGGCGTCAGCCTAGCTCACAGCAACCTCAAACTCCTGGGCTCAAGTGATCCTCCTGTCTCAGCCTCCCAAGCAGCTGGGACTACAGGTACTCACCACCACACCCAGCTAATTTTTTTCTTTTGTTTCTATTTTTAGTTGGCCAGCTAATTTTTTCTATTTTTAGTAGAGACGGGGTCTCGTTCTTGGTCAGGTTGGTCTCAAACTCTTGACCTCCAGTGATCCTCCCACCTCGGCCTCCCAGAGTGCTAGGATTACAGGCATGAGCCACGATGTCCTATATTTTTTAAATGCATGTATTTAAAATACCAAAGAATAAAATAAGTTTCAACAAAATAATCCTCCCAGATTCACCAGCACAATTAGTACATTAGTGAGCCACGAGGGCTAAATCGACGGCTGCTCTGCTCATGCTTTAGTTCTAACTTCCCCTGCCTGACTGGCACCACTAGAGTTGCACAGCTCGACAGTATTTCTTAATTGTGTCTGCTTAAGAGCCCATCATGTCAAAGACCACGAGAATTGTGAAGGAAGAAAACAGACTTTTTAATGAGGATTGGGAATTGCAGTATCATCTTGTTTCTGCTAAAGATGATTTGCTTGCTTTGTGATACTGCAATATCAACATTAAAGAAATTCAATACTCGTCACCATTATAATGTTCATAAGGACCACAAATACTTTAAATTAGAGGGAAAGGCAAGAAAGGTTGTATGGTAGAAATTAAAAGATGAGAAGCAAAAGCAAAGACAATTCCTTCAAGCAGCAATAAGACCTGGAAATAATGCCACTGAAGCAACTTGTAAAGTAGCTTACATACTCGGGAACAAAGGGAAGCCATTCAGTGATGTAGAAATTGTGAAAGAATGCATTGTCGAAGTTGTAGGATACTTAGACCCACTAACGTTTCGTAGTACAAACAACAGTCTCTTTCAAGGAGAACTATAACAGATCAGCAGCATGAATTAGCCTTCAACTTAACAGAACAACTTCATGCAATATTTGAAAAGGAAAATATATATTATTCAATTGCTTTGGATGAATCAACTGATACTGCTGACTCGGTGCAGGTTTTTTACTTCATTCAGGTCCTAACAGAAGATTTTTTTTGCTATGAAGAGTTACTCCGCTGGGCACTGTTGCGAACAGAATACGGAGAATAGATATCAACAACTTTCAAGATAAATGTCATGAAGTTGGACTGAATTTGGTAAATTTAGTGAGTGTTTGTACAGATGGTGCACCTTCCGTGACAGGAAAACATGAAGGGTTTATTGCACAGGTAAGAAAAGTATTAACAGACCCAGATGCTCTCATTTCTTTTCATTGTATCTTGCATCAGCAAAATCTCTGTGTTAAAGTTACTACAAGTGACACTTTCCAGCAAGTGATAAGTATTGTTAACTATACTGGAGCAAATGCAACACAGCATTATCAGTTTTGTAACATGCTAAAAGTTGAAGGATGAGGTATTCAGTGTGGATTTGCCATATCATTCTAAAGTGGGTTGGCTATCACAGGGACAGGTGTTAGCCAAAATCTTATCTCCGTAAGAACAGATAGTTAAATTTTATGAAGAACAGAATCAGCAATGTGAATTATTGAAAGAATATTTCTGTAGGAATGTAATATTTCTGTGTGATATCATGTCAAATCAAAACAACCTGAATATTTCTTTGCAAGGTAAAACTCAGTCTGTATATGATATGTGGCAAAAAAAAATCCAAATTCACTTCTTCAAAAGGAAATTTTGGATGAACATTTTCCCCAGTTAGCAAAGGTCATTGATGAGCCAGATGATATACATGAATCATTTGAAGAATATGCAGCTGTTACGGATCTATTAATTAGAGAATACAATGAAAGGTCCACTGACTTTGAGAATCACGACATCACACTCAAGTTAGCATTTCGGCCTCAACTAGTTGATATCACCAAGGCACCTCAAGAACTACAGATGGAACTGATTGAGCTCTCAGAAGATGACATCTTAAAGTCTTTGTTTGATGCTAAAAAAGAGCCAACGGAAATATGGAAAAATGCAGAATAGCCATGCCTTCAGCAACATGCCCGAAAAAGGCTTTCTTTTTTTTGTTGAGACAGAGTCTCACTCTTTTGCCTGGGCTAGAGTGCCGTGGCGTCAGCCTAGCTCACAGCAACCTCACACTCCTGGGCTCAAGCAATCCTCCTGCCTCAGCCTCCCAAGTAGCTGGGACTACAGGCATGCGCCACCATGTCCGGCTAATTTTTTTTTCCTATATATATTTTTAGTTGTTTGATTAATTTCTTTCTAATTTTTAGTAGAGACAGGGTCTTGCTCTTGCTCAGGCTAGTCTTGAACTCCTGAGCTCAAACAATCCGCCCGCCTCGGCCTCCCAGAATGCTAGGATTACAGGCGTGAGCCACCGCGCCCGGCCAAAAAAGGCTTTCTTGCTTTTCAACCACTCATTACTGCGAATCTACATTCTCGTACCTAACCCAAATCAAGATGTCCTAAAGGTCACAAATGACTGACACCCATCTAGAGGATCAACTGAAACTGAGGACCTCCATGCTGCAACCAAATATTCAACTGTTTTCCAACTAAACGTAGACACGACAAAGTCATTAAAAGGTTAATTTTTAAATTAAGAAAGTTTTCATTTTTTGAAATTAAGTACATAGATTTTTACAAAATAATGTACATTTTTAAAAGTATATAATTGAAGTTTCTTGAATGTGGCCTTATTTGATTACAGCTAAATTAATATGGCTTTTCAATATAGAAATGTTCCCCACCCCTGATATAATCCAAGGACAACAAAAAAAGCCATCAATTTTTTAAAGGTTTTGAAATTAAACTTCAAATTTTATTTGCTGTTTCCCACTCCAATTCATCCTTCTAGATTAAGGGTCAGCACACTTTTTCTATAAAGGAACAAAGAGTAGATATTTTAGGCTTTGTAGGTCTCATATCACAACTATTCAACTTCACCACTGTAGTGCAAAGCAGCCATAGACAATCAACACAAGTAACAAGTACCTATTCCAATAAAACTTTATTTACAAAAACTGGCAAGGGGCTATTTTGCCAACCTCTGTTCTAGATGATCTGCAAGCTTCTGAGAGAATAGAAAAGGCAATTATGTGTTCAAATATAATAATTAGGGGAAGTTTTTTTTCTTTTTTATATCTCAAATATTTGGCAGTTACAAGAGATGTACACACTGATCTCCCTAAGGCTAATATTAAAAAAGTAAAATAAAATGAGCCTGGGTTGTGGTAGCTCACACCTATAATCCTAGCAGTCTGGGAGGCCAAGGCAGGAGGATTGTTTGAGGTCAGGAGTTTGAGGTTGCTGTGAGCTATGATGATGCCACTGCACTCTAGCTGTGGCATCAAGAGTGAGACTCTGTCTCCCAAAAAAACAAAAAAAAGTTAAATAAAATGAGCCATGTTTAATATTCGAATTTTTTTAAACCAAAGGGATCAACCATGTTTCAATTTAAATATAAGCCTGTTAGTATAACTATTTGCCTGATGTATCTTAATGGTGGGGAGAAAATCCAAAAAAAACTAGATCCATTTGTAAGGATTTTAAGTTACAAATATATAAACATACTATTTTAAGAAAAATAAAAAATAATAAATAAAAAAGTAAAGAGGGACAGATTTCAGAAAGCAGAATAGTAGGCCGGGAGCGGTGGCTCATGCCTGTAATCCTAGCACTCTGGGAGGCCGAGGCGGGTGGATCGCTCAAGGTCAGGAGTTCGAGACCAGCCTGAGCAA